CTCGATCCACTGCAGTTAGGGTATCGAAGATTTCATAGCACACAATTAGCATTTATTAAGCTGGTTGATAATATGAGGGTTGCTATTGATGGGCAGCAAGCTACATTTCTGGTAGCTATTAATTTTTCGCCAGCTTTCGATATTGTTGACATCAAAAATGTATAATAAGCTCTGAGATTTGGGATTTTCAAGGTCTACCTGCAATGGGGTTGAATCTTACCTCACTGATCAGTCTTAAGTTGTAATTTATTCAAAAGGTAAAGCTCTTAACCTTTGTCCACACATTCGGGTGTACCACAAGGCTCGGTGCTTGGCCCGTTACTTTCTTTTCTCTCCATAAATGACATTAGTTCTGCAATTAAACACTGTTCATATCATCTTTATGCTGATGATCTATGTATATATCTTCATGGTTCTTTCGATTCATTGGCGAGTATTGTGCGTATGGTTAATGAGGATTTACATAATAATTTATTTTGGGTACTCTTTAATGGTGTTCTTATCAATAAGGAAAGGACAAGTGCTTTATGGTTGGGCTTACCTAATTTTATGAGTTGACTTCTAACCACCCATGTACCTATATCTGACGTTTTGCTTGATGTTTTCGTAGTTCAAATTTCTGACACACTAAAAATACTAGGCATTGTGCTTGACTCTACATTGAACTTTCAAGCGCAGTGCTGTACTACATCAAATGAATGTTCTACTACGCTATATCGCTTTGGTAAGTGTGGATCGCCACTTCCTCAGAATTGTAATCTTACGTTAGTCAAACCACTTATACTGCCTGACTAATATTATTGTACTGGTTTCTTTTTCTCACTCTATACGGAGCTTAAACCTAAACTTTCCAGGAGAGTGCATGCAGCTATCCGCTTCGTAACAGGAACACCCAAGCAGGAGCACATTACATCTAAATATAAGAAATGGAATATGCTTCCCTATTTCATTAGGATTGAATATCATTAGGATTGATTATGCTTTTATTCCGTGCTTCAATCATGCGCTGTACTCAGCCACAGTATCCATCGTGAAGATTCCAATTTAGACCTCATAATAGGCCTAGTACTGAACGGGCATCCCATCTTGATCTGCTTATCCTTCCTGCCGCGTGTAAATCTCTGCATTATTCTTTCTTTGTTGGTACTGGTAAAATGTTTCCCAGTTGTTATACGTGACTTATAACAGCGTCCATGTATCAAGAGAGAACTCTATAAATACTACCAGCTTGTATTTGTCAATTTGCGTTAATTGCTGTTTGTTACTAAAATTTATCACGCTGTACCATTCATTTATTTATGTCTACTATTATTGTTGTTATTATTTTTATCTTTTGTTGATTTAATTTTTTATTATTTTATTTAAGCTATGTAATAATTGCGTAACTATTATTGGGCTCTAATTTTTCGTTACCCTTATTCAATACAAAAACGTATATACGGGTTAGTATATATACAGGACCCATGAGTACGTCTCTGAGTCTTTGGTCTGTTAGATAAATCTAATCTAATCTAATCAAATCTAATATCTTTATCTTTCTCTCTCTCTCTCTCTCTCTCTCTTCTGAAATAAGGCCCTATTACCGACGGATTGGCTGGTTGACCGTTGATGCCACGAAAAGATATTTCTTGAATTGTATGGTCCATCGGCTGCTTACCTTGGAGAGATTAAAATACCTGGCGGAGTTGTTCCCACTGGCTGAGGTCCTAAGGAAATCCGCTAGGCGTGTCGCGACCGGTCTTTTCGTCCTTTTTGCACGTACTGTCACTTATGATCGATCTTTTGTTCTGAGTGCTATAAGACTGTGAGAGGAAGTCCCTGAGACCATCAGACTTAGCGGCTCTCTTGATTTATTTGAAGCTACACTTTTTGATTGGCTATTCAAAAGCGATTGAGGTAGTGATGGTACATTGCGAGTGGTTTAATGGTTCAATAGTTTATCGGCTATATATTACTTATATTACTTATATATTATTTATATATTATTTACTACCTCGAGAAATTTATTTATTTGTTTATTATATCGTCGAATGGCGTCTCACAGATCAATCAATTAATTGTTATTATTATTATCATTATTATTCTGTACCTTATCTGCATATATGTTAACTATTGTAAACTTCTATGTACTTTAAAAGTTGCCATTCGGTTTATTAAACCTTGACATTATTAAATCAGTTTATCATCATCTCTTTCGGTACCCAAAAATGGGAGCATATTTCGCCAATCTATAGGAAGTATTCTGTCCTCAGCTTCAATAGTAGAGTTACTTACATGGTGGTCTGTTTGGTATCCGTTGTTCTCCGCACAGACGCTTCAGTGTATTTGAGAAGGCTCTTCAACTTTAGACCTGAAAGTGCCACTAATTATACTATATCTAGTTCTCTTGATCTTATCGTTCCGTGGGCGCGCACGAAGACATATAAATGCAGTTTTGCTGTTGCTGTTGCTTGGCTACGGAATATGATTCCTACGAGTATTCACACGGAGGCTACTTCGCCTTGCTTCAAGAGACATCTTTTAGAGTACATCAAATCCATTGACCCGCGTCTCAGGTAGATTATAACAGACTTTGGTGATGAGTCGGCATATATTGGAGCTTCACCAATTTGTCTAGTATTGTATATTCGATTATTATATTATAATTTGTTATTTACTTCTTATTATTTCATTGTACTTTTATTTTACTTTATTTTATTTTATTTTTACTTTTTTATTGAATATTTTCTTGTATGTTCTAACTAAAAGACTGCTGGAGCTTGACATGTAAGTGTTATAAGTGAGTCTGTACACTCACTAATTTTGCCTAGCACCTAGGCAATATGTACAGTCATGGCTACCATGGACCCTGAGTCCCTAGCCTCAATAAACTTATCTAATCTAATCTAATCTCTCTCTTTTGCTCTCAGTCTCTCCAACATATCAAAGGTGTTCACTTTCAAGTGAATACTGAGGGTTGTTTAAAATATCGTTTTATAAAAGATATATTCTTCTATGTTTTGTTATTGTTTAAACAGTCTTGTTCATTAGTATGATGGTGCTAAAAATTTGGTTTAAAAATTTGTTAGTTCATAACAATAGAGTTTTTTAAATACTTTTTGTTGACAGAATTTTTTTGGAACTTTCATTCTCTCACTTTATTTGAGGCTATATTTAATCGTAATGAAAGATTTAAAGAAAAAAAATGCCAACTCTACTTTTGAATGCCCCCTGCATGAGAAGAATTAAAATCTTAATTTTTCGTGTATCAATTTTTTTTTTCTTTAATACAGTGAAGATTTACTTGATAAAGATTTGTTAGTTAGGCATGCTCAATGTTAAATACTATGTTTGTGACTGTATGAATATGTACAGTAACTTATTTAAATTCAAACGCCAGTACTCCAACTGTTAGATGCAGAATTACATAAAGACGATACACAAATTTTTTCGCAATAAAAAATTTAATCATCAGTCTGTTATTGCAAAATAAAGCCAGTTTTTTGTATTATGTCTTCAAAGTAAACTAGAGCATTCTTTTTTTTTCAATTCAGGTTTTTTTATAAAAAATACAATGACATTTGTTGGGAAAAAAGTATGCAAAATTAACTTAAATATTTGCTATTGCTTAAGTTGCAAAATAAAATTTTTGGTGTCAAAACTAGCAAAAGTGTGAATTTTATAGGAGATTTGATGACGAAGAGATTGGCAGTTTAAAAATTTCTCTATCAGCAGTAGAAGTGGAGATACAAGTTAAAAACTACAAAAAAATTTGGCATTTTATCATTAATTGTTAAATAAATGGATGGAAACGACTTTTGATTTGGACAAAACTATTTTTTCTATATTTCTGGAAAAATTGTCCAGGGAATGACGAATTTTTCCTTTACCGGAAAACATAAAATTAAAAAATCCTTTTATTCATGGACTATATTTTATAATGATGACATGGATATTTTGGTCGTAGAATATATGTTTAAACATTTTGTAATTAAAAAAATTAAACAAATTATTGGCAAAGTAAATCTTATTTAGTAACTCATTAAAAGTTTCTGTTGTCATTAACCACAATTTTTCCCAACATTTTATATGTATTGCCGCACACAGCTCTCCTGAGCTCTGAAAGACTCGACGGTTCTCTTCTCTTTGAGTTTGGCTTTTTTCGGTTATATCTGTTCGTAGCTTCTCCACATGCCACGTGCTGTCTGTATAATAGTTAGATACTTACAGGGGTGGCATAATGCCATAAATCCATACAGCGTACAACCATCCCTGTAAGTATACGTATAGTTTGACTAGACTAAGTAGTCTCTCTTAGCATTGCTCGCCATTCTCACTGACTTTGAAAGTGGCAATTAATGCGTTGATGCTCATATGCCATTGTGTATGTGTGTGTGCGTACGTGTATGTGTATTTGTATTTGCCACGTGACTTATTAGGTGCTTTGAGATTTGTTATGTATCGATAACTTTTGTTCAATACAATAAAGTATAAAAATGATTTAGTACAAGTATTATATCATAAATTTTTTAATTTAACTGTGTTAACTCAATATTTTATAATGTAATTGTAATGGCTGTGTAGAAAATGGCCTGGAGCCCGTAGAACCAACAGCTGGTTTCTTATAAAATTGATTTTCTTTATGATCGATTAGTATGTAGTTTGCACCGGGAAACAATTTAAATAAAGCAAGTCATTTTAAAACTATAGTAAAAGATTCTATTTGATAATGGTAGAAATATTAGGACGTATTAGGAAGGATAAAACTATGTCCTAGTTTGTTATACTGTTTAACGTCTTTTAAAGTACAATTTCATAGTTATGACTTCAACATATATTTATAAAAAGTGTTACATCAACATTTACTTATGAACAGTTATTAGACTATGTTCATAAATTTTTAATATTTTCTAGTTTTTATAGTGTAGTGCAATATTGTAAGGCTGCCATAGTTTCTTTATTGTTGTAAATGCTGTTGCTTTAATTACAATTATTATAATAATTTTTTTTTGTATTTTTAGATTGATTGCTGTATAAAGTTGAGTGGAATGCCTGATTTGACACTAACTTTTGTTAATCCAAGGTTATTTGATGACGTGAGTTTTCATCCTTGCGTAAGGTTTAAGAGATGGGAAGTAAGTTTTTATTTGAAAAATTTTATGTAATGTTCTTGAAAATTTTTTAATGCTATGAGTGCATGTTAACATTTCAGTCAGAAAAGATACTGTCGTTTATCCCCCCGGACGGCAACTTTAGATTAATATCGTATCACATAGCTTCTCAAAGCGTTGTAACTATTCCATTGTATGTGAGGCACAACATCAGCTTAAAGGAACAAAGTGGTGGTAAATTTGATATATCAGTAGGTCCAAAGCAAACGTCAGGAAAAACAGTAAGTGATAAATGAGTAAGACATAACATACTCTAAGTATTGTTATTTACTATTGACGAAACCTCTTTTAACAATTTAATGCTGTCATTAAAGAAGATTTATAGTTTTTTTTTATTGAACATCAGAATATTTTATTGTAAGCGTAATTATACTTATTTATCAATTAGATGAGTAGACTGTATAATTTGTGGGATGCCGGATAGTTGAAATCTCAGGGAGAGGTATACACTGAGAAGAGATTAAAAAAAAGGCAGTACCCTACACATAAATTCACTTCTACTTCTTTCCATGGAACAAAATAATCTTTGATACAAAAGCAAACCTTACGATGAAAAATGCATAATTTAGTGCAGCAAACGGAAATTAAGTTGATTAATTGACAAATAAAGAAGATCTATACTTCGGAGTATAAGTAGTACTTTTGGTGGCCACGGTACCACAGTAATTTTTGTTGCTTTGTACCAGACTAAAGTCGTAACACGATCTTTTAGAGACAGAGCTCGATGCATACTGACTAGAGGTGAAACCGTTGTTTGCATGCAGTCAGTCAATTAACTATAGCCTCATACATGTATAAATGCTCATTCTCTTAGTGGTAGATAAGTTTACATGAAGTATTAAAGATAACAAGGTAACGCGACGATGCTGCATCATTCGCATGCATTAAATAATTACACTTATGTTGTACCTTAATGTTATGCATGAAACATAAAATAAACAATTTACTGATGAACACTTGAATTTTGTAAAATTATAGAATAAGTTTATTCCATAGGTTGATGTAACGAACAAATAAAATACATAAAATCTAATAAAACTTAATCATTCAGCTGTATTGATGATCAAAAACGTGAAAATAAATCATGAGTAACGCTTATTATAAGCTTGTTTATAAATGAATTAAATATAATAATGGTACATTACGTCACTAGGGCACAAAGTACAAACATGAGCGCCCGAAGGGCGCAATTGTTGTATGTTGGTGCCCGAGTCGCGTATAATGTTTTTCTTACCGAGGGCGCAAAGTGCAATTTTGCAACCGTCGGCACACTTTGCGCCCGGTCAATCACTTTGGGCCGTAGGGCAGAAAAATACTTAGGGCCCGGAGGGCTTAAAAACTTTTCTGTCTGTGGGCCCAAAGTGATTTCAAAGGCGCAAAGTATGGCCCGAGGCCGCAAAGCGGCAGTTGCACTTTGGGCCCATCGTAAGAAATACTAGTTTTCGTCGGATAAGTGCCGTCGTCTCCGGAGATATTTTGTGGCCCGAGGGACGTAAGGTAGCTGTGGAGCGATGGCACTTATGTGGCGAATTCTATTTTTCCTACCGAGGGCACACCCGACCCTCAAAAACGCCCGTGGTCGGAAAATTGAATTTAAAAAATAATCATCAACAACATAAAACTATGAAATATGAATTATTTTTCATAAAACATTGTCAACAAAAATTAATGTGAGTTTTATAAATATAATTATTTGTTTAAATCATGCGCTTATTATTTATTCATACGTTAGCCGCTTGTACTACTTTTCCTTAAAGTGGCTTGGTACATGGTTGGTAGTAGACATTGCCGACTTAGCCTATCGCAGGTGCCCATGAACACTTGCGTACAAATCATACAGCTTAGACTGTTGAGCAGTCTGACTCGTTCGCTTGTTATACAATAGATAGTTATGATTAATATATTTTTCCGCCCTCGGGTGGTTTTGGGAGGCTGGTACTTCCTCGGGCGAAAAAGCAGTTTTCCGGAACTCGTTCGAAAAGTCTCCTTTACGAACCTCGTTACGGACCTCGCCTTCGGCTCGGGCCGCAAACCTCTCGGTTCGCAAACAGAGACTTTTCAAACTCGTAGGAAAACTACTATTACTTCTTTACAATATTACAGCCATTATGTAACTTCAGTCTACTTGATAATAGGCTTCGAACATGCACGCTTATCTTTACGTAGGTTTATCAGGTTGTTTAAGAGTTTATGTATTTTAACGGTTAATAGATCTCTAAAATACATTTGTTAGTTAATAGAAATACTGTGTAAGTGAGAAATCAATTAATTTCTAAACGTCAGTCGTCAGTAATTTTGGTTCATTTTCGTCGTCTGATTCTGGCTGATTACAAAATTGTACAGTCCTCATCATCGAATACCGTAAGACGAGTGACAAACCATATTACTAAAGGATAAGCATGTAATTCAAACAAATTATTATATTTCCAACATATTCCTCGGATTTATAGACGGAAGTCTCAAAGCAGATTTTTCAATCAGACAAAACTAACTCTTAGTATTAATATTAATATATTGATATTTTTGCAAATAAAAACTTCGTTCTCGTCGGGTTGATGGACAATGATTGTAGTTAAACATCATAAGAAATCGGTAAATAAAATAATAATAAAAAAACAGTATATCATTACATTTAACCTGGTGAAAAACAAACAGTAGTGAGTAATATGATCAAATAAGAATCGCATATTCACTTACAATTATTGTTATTTAATGTCCTATTGTACAGAAAAGAACTAACTCGCAATATAATAAATCATTGGTTTTCGATGTAACTTGAAATATTCTTGATCATTCTTATATTGTTAAATGGTCAATCAAACAAATAAAGAAAATTAATAGACTCTGAAATCTAGGCCAAATTAACTAACATAGGTTCATTGACTTGACTCAAGTTCGGTAACAGTGCCTAGAAATACGAGCTTATAGATTGGTCAAACTGTAGAAGTGGCAGTTTTAATTTGAGCGACTCTCAACAGGAATTTAACGTCCTAATAGACGTCGACAAAATTATCTAACGGCTAGCTACTTGGAGGGGCAGACTCTTAATAAGAACCAGATCTCTGATTCCAAAGTTTCTGGGAGGAAGCAACCATTTTAATTGATTCTGGAAAGCAGAAAGATGCTCTGAAGACTACTTCTTTCCCAAATACTTAAGCATTCAAGAAATTAATTTTCAACACTGTAGTAGCATGTTCTTTCAGATATAACATCTGGTTCAGATGTAAGATAGAATTCGGAGGATCAAGAAGTTAGCTGGAGTAAACGGATTCAAGTCTAAAGGATCACCATTCAAACGAGCCAAGGAGTAAGAGTTGAGACAGGCTTTGATTCTGCAGAGCAGTATGGCGTATTGAATGAAGATAAATATTTATTTACTAATTACTTGCTTAATGTGATGCTTTATCGGCTTAACAGCGGCCTCGCACAGACCTCCTTAGTGGAGAGCTGATGATAGATTAAAGTTCCATTGTATTCCAAGGTTGCTCAACTTCAGAGCAAAGAACGTAAAATTGAACACATTTTAGTGTTAGATCCCACGTTTATACAGACGAATCATATTATAAGTAAAAACGTTATTCATCCGTCAGATTCATACAAGACGTATTGTATACATACACAAGCTTATATAACAAGTGGAGCTCATACGTTACTTATATGCGTGTGTGTACATTAGCTTTAAGGTGAATGTTTTATAATATGCTGACATGTAATACGGCCAGCCTCGTTGTAAGAATGCATGTACGTATCGAAATTGTTCATTACAAGTATAAATGCATAAATTGTATTGTATGTTTAAATGAATAGCTTACTTGCACATTGATTATCTATTTCTATAAATGTACACCAATTAAATAATCGTAATTAACAAATTATTTCATTGTATTCAAATTTATTGTAAGATCCTCAAAAATATTTATTACAAAATTTTGAAACATATTCGTCTCTTTTCAACTTATATTTAGTGTTTCTTTTATTGCTGATGTGAACTTCCATCATCACTGATCCAAAAATTTTAATCACACTTGTCAGAGAAATGCGATTAGTACTGTTGTATTGTTATTTCGTAACACATCAAATCATAACATAAAGCATCATCGTGCAAGCCCACTGTTTTGCTGTCAACGCAGTCTGCAAGAACATGGCTCATTGGTTGTTCTAATTCAACCAAAGGCCTCTTTTACTCGCTCTGATGCTATGAAAACGCACCATCAAGAGGAAAAATCGCTTTTTTTATGTCGGTTACCTGTCCTCTAAAGTTTTAGTCAACTCTTGACTCCCGTGACTCGTGAGTACCTTATACACGTAAGGCATAGCGTGTTGGCTGAGGCACCTTGGGTGCATTTCGAGAACATCAATAGTATCGGACTATGCTAAGGAGCGAGGTACAGAAAAAGAAGCCCGTCGAAAGTGGCTCTGGCGGTAGCAGAGAAAGCAGAAACTGCAACATCTTACCAGCAATGAACTCATTCGTGTAGTTTAAGGGACTACTGAAAATTACTGCACAAAGGATTAGGGAACTCCAAAGCAGCAGTAACAACAATCAGTGATAGATGTAAGTTATTTATTAGTAATATAATTAAACCTTGTTAAAGTGACCAGAGTAAATTGTATTTAAAAGAATTACTATTTTAAATTTTTTCAATAAAAGAACACACTAATTAAAATTATCCATATCATTTAAATGAAATATTTTACTCTACTTATAAGAACAAATAAAGCTTACGAGCTAAACCCTAAGAGACCCACGGATGACATGAAAATAAAACTGGTTAAACAGAGGTATTTCAACTAACCAACGAGACCAAAGGTCTGTTACCGAAGCTGTCTAAGCTACCTAAGATATCAAGAAAATTTGACAATTGAACTAGAGGCAGAAATTTGGTTCAAGGACGTGAACAGTCGGGCACACCCAGTTACAACTAAAAGCTTACGTTTCCTATGTAAGCCTGAGAAGAAGATTACTTTATCGTTATTATTAAAGTACTTTAGCTTATCAGCTGAATATTAAGCAGGCAAATTCCTCAATATGTCAGTCAAATTTTACTGTCACTTGTGCAAAGAAAGGCCTGAACTCGCTAAATCATAGAGCTGAATACTCCGTTCTAGTATCCGGAAACGAGTGACTAGTAAATAGGCAGTAATCTACGTAAAATTCTCGCAAAATAGTTTGAGCCGCCAAGGAATGAGAAAAAGTATAAGTACTAGCCCGTTGCCGAAGGATTATAGTGGTCAAATACATAGAGCTTAATAAACCATACATCATGTAATCGTTTTTAAAATATGAACTATAATTAAATTAAACAACACCAGTTTTCATAAAAGAGTGGCAGGTGGTTTCACATGAATTCTATAACAATAAGTCATAATACAGAAACGTGTTGTATTTCTGTAGTTTACCTAACTTAGGTTCATTGTCATGGTCCTTGGATTTAAGTTTTAAATTAATCCAGAAGGTTTCGAATTCAGAGAGAAACTGTAAATTTTGACAATTAAAAATCGCAAAACGCATGTTCCATCTTAAGAGTTCGAAGTATTAAGTATTTACGGCTAAGAGTAAAATTTACAACTTAAAAGGGTAGATTAATATTTCTAATGGTATTAGTGATTGTTCTATTGAAAATTACCGTCATACTATTATTCAAAACATTGACTATTTTTCTTTTCTCAAAACATTGTTCAATTAAACTCATACGATCGTTCGTAATTTCTAGCAATTTTCCTAAATTTGAATATTTATTACAGAAATTTCAAGTTGTTAGGTTGTATCAGGTTATTAATAAACATGTAATGAAATAAATAACAACTGAGCTTTTAAGAGTTGAAATTTGAAATTATGGTTTCTTGAGACTTTTCTCTTCAAGTTTTGAGTACACTGGATCAATCTCATCTGATATTTCAGTCCCTTTGAACCACAATGATTGATCAGGTAATTGTGATAAAAACTTGCCTTTAAACGCAGTACCCAAAAACTTATGTATAAATGTTATATAATGCCACTGAGCGTATAAAATTAATTATTAAATATCAGCACCTCTGTTGTGTCTTCAAGTGAGCCATTTCGGGAGGATGGATTATAATTGATACAACATTCCTTGAATTGGTCCAATGACGTATATCATCAGCCAATTTAGATGCATCTACGAATCCATTAATTTTGAACCTTAGAGCGTCAGGAATTCAGTGATTCCAACGTAAAAACTTGACGTTGTTAAATATAAAAAATTCTTCTTGACCACTTGTTCCACTTTTTATAAAGTCAAGGTGGTTAAGCATTGTGCAAAAGAGTCTTCAGAATCCACATTTCTTAAATCATGATTTTACCCTTCATTACCATAAGTCGTTATTGTGAGGGGGAGTCCCCTGATTTGGTCGTGCGATTGTCGTCCGGCAGCGTTAGTACATCTAGCAGTACATCTGGAAAACGAAAGAACGAAGACGGCTATAGTTGACGGGGTTCTATTATTTACGCAAATAGAACTGTCTGCAATCTTATCATACTACCAGGACGTAGAGCTTTAAGTCTGAACGGAATATCTGATAAAGTTCTTAAGATCGTGGCCGTAGAGAAACTACATGTTCTGCTGAATGTGTTTAATGCTTGTTGTAAAGCAGGCATATTCGGCGGGCCGTGGAAGATCCAACGCCTCGTTCTTCTAGACAAGGATAAGGGTCCACCTGTGACTCCAGTATAATTCTGACCACTGTGTATGCTGGACGACTCGGGCAAGGTAATGGGGTAATTGATCCGAACTCGTTTGCAAGAGGTTAGAAATCTGGCCGACAACTAGCACGGTTTTAGGGTTGGCAGATCAACATGCCACGCGTTGACCGAAGTTCAAGAGTATGTGAAAAAGACATGACAAGCTCCTTACAATACAAGGAATGTTTGTGTCCTGATTACCCTAGACGTTAGGAATGCCTTTAACTTGGCAAGATGGTCTGACATAAGAAAAGCACTGTGCGAACAGGAGGTGCCAAAGTACTTAAGAAGGGTCGTGGACAACAATCTCAAAAACCGTGTCCTTCGGTACAACACAACGAAGGAACCACGAGATGTGAAATTGACGTCGGGGAAGGCTCAGGGCTCTGCGCTGGGTCCAGACGTCTAAAACCTCATGTACGATGAGCTCCTGTGGTTCAAAATGCCCAAGGAAGTAAAGCTGGTGGGATTCGTAGATGATATTGCCATGATCGTCCAAGCAATATCTCGGGCCCAAACAAAGCTCAGGATTCAGTTAGAGACCTCCAAAGTATAAGAGTAGCTGGAGGAACATCGTTTCGAGCTGGCTGGCCTCAAAACGAAGATTGTTGTCATCATTAGAAAGTGTCGCTATTCTCAGAGTAAAGCGACGGCAAGTTGCTGATAAAGTCCAATCAGCAACGAAAGACATAACAGAGACGCTTAAAGCAATCAATGATAAGTATGGTAACACAGCGAACACTGTTAAAAATGGGCTCAAAGCCGTGCTTAAACACCTTAAAGAGGCACAGATGATAAGAAACGCTTTCTTTCTCAAGAGGAAGTGTTCACAAACTCTTGGAAGGCGTCATTCTAATCCCTAAAGGGCCTGGAACAAAGGCGAGATAATTTCCGACGACATGTTCAGAAAAAAACCCTGAACACTGCCCTAAAGGAAATAGAACGAAGTAAAAGAAACAGGAGCCCATCAGACAGCCCTGAGAAACGCCAGCAAACCATGTCTTTAAAGAAAAAGAAAACAGGCAGTGGCAAGCAAGAAGAGATTCTCCTGAATAACAAAACAAGCCAGAAGAAAAAAGTGGACGCGACAACAACAGTAGTAGTGAAGATGGCCGAAAGACAGACCTTTGCAAAGGTGCTGAAGACGATCAAGGCGAACTTTGACCCCGATAAGGCTAATGTGACAGTCGAAAGTGTTTTCACTACGAAAAAAGGAGACATACTTATTAAGGCCAAAGGTGTAGAGAATGCTATTGCATTCTCACAGCAAATTAAAAAGTCGGTAGCTGGACAGGGTACTGTCAAAATGAGCAACAAAAAAGTAACATTAGAGGTCCAAGACCTAGATGCCATTGTAGAGGAAGATGAGATCAAAGAGGCCTTCGCTAGGACTTTCGAACGTAAGAGCAAGGAGCCAGAAGTAGCTCTCTTAAAGCCAAATGCCATAGGACAAAGGCTGGCGTTGATAAAGGTGGACGAAGCAACTGCCAGACGAGTAGAAGAGGAAGCCAGGTTACGAGTTGGCTTCGTAAGCTGCTAAATTCGAAGAAGAATTGAAGTAACAAGATGTTACAAATGCTTAGGAAATGGACACGTCTCAGGATACTGTAAGAACGGAAACATCCAAGCTTTGCTTCCGGTGTGGAAGCTTAAACCACTGGAAAAAAGAGTGTCCAGGCACGGTGCTTCCTTTGCCCAACAACGGTCAAGAAGCACGAAGCAGGCAGTGGGAGCTGCCCTTTGTTTAGAAGAGCCCTAAAAGAAGCCAGGGATAAGGCCCAAGCAGAACGAAAATGAGGCAAAGGGGCCTTGAGTTGGAAAGCAGGCTAATGTGGACCCAGGCTGCGATGAGTACTTTATTACCTATTAGCAAGGGAAAGCATCAAGCTTATAGTGGTGCTAGCTTAGTAAGCAGCCTACTATGGAGCGCTAGACAGGGTGCTGGTCCTCAGGGACCCCCAGTCCATTTCAGAACTCGAAAGGATCAGCACCTCTAGCAAAGGTGTCGAGTTAACTCGTTAATGCTGTGAGACGCGATGGTCTTTCTAGTGGCTCCACCCTGAAGTAATGCTAACGCGGTTCCGGGGTGGATCAAAAGCTACGCGGCTTGGGGGGGTCACGTGTGCTCCCCATATAAGTACACCTGCAGATGCAGGACTCGCGAGGATTTTCCATCGGGTCGTCCCGTAAAAGCGCGTTTCAGTCTCCTCCCCCCACGCGGCCCCTTCGCGGCGACGACGACCTTCCCTCGCCGTATATATTATATAGTGCTTANCCACTACTACTACTACCACTACTTTCACTCCCGCGTGGGGTTTTGCTAGTTTCTCCATACCGGGCGCTTTCCCGGGTGGCAGATAGGGGCATCCTCTTAGATATGAGGTGACGACGGGCAGTTAAAGTGGCTCTTTATGATGGTGGATGTGGGCAACGATTGGGAGGCGTATGAAGCATTGGCGTGTGTATCTCGAGCGGTGTGGAAGGGGAACTTAAGCCCTCTGTCTTCATCGATGTGGACGCATGGGCTGGGCCTACTTGTGCTCTTTGTTCTTCGCTTTCTGCTGCCACCGTGGGTGGCACCTCAATGCTTAATGCGGGCCAACAAAAACTAGCACCCATCGTGTATAGAAGTAAGTAGCGGTTATAAAATGCTTCTCAGATACATGCATCACACTTCCACTATACAAACACAGGTTCACTTACGCATTGTTCCGAGCTGTGGGTGGCAGGGCCTTTCCCGGACTTGCGTTTAAGGCCTGGCGGCGGATAAAGCCGGACGATGAGGCCCAGGTAAGTCTGGGTAACCACATCTGATATGGCTGTACGCACCATAAACAAAAAAGACGTGGTGAGCTGACTAATCTGGGCTTACTACCACTGAGGAAGCTATATGGCGGCACCTTATTGCCTTACGCCAGCTCGTTTTAACGGGTTGTCTGCTCAGATCATGTGATTGTACACCTGTTACTCGTCTTGCTGGGATGACTGTAGTGTACCAACATATATATACATTACACCCAAACACCGTTCTTAGACTTGTTACTCAACGCCAGAGCAGTCTCCGTGGGTGGGACTGAGGGAGAGTGGTGATTCCCGGCCGGCCCGAGCAAGTAGCAGCTCTCTCTAGTAACAGAGAAAGCTGCTGCCCTAGTTTTAACCCTTTCCTAATATTTATTCTTAGAAAAAAGGATAGTGCTTCCCTTCGCGGGTCAGTACGACATTAAAAAGATACCAATATAAAAAACGTCGATGCAAAACTTGTACCCTAAGTGGTAACCTCTCTGAGGGAATCTGCCAGCAGTTCTGATCCGGTAAAAGCCCGGGTGACTATTGCAGGCCTCATGGATTCTGGGGGAGGGGGGAATAAAGACGTGTCTCATGGCCAACAGGGACTGCTAAATGTTCCATGGCCTTTTCTTACAGACAAAGGACGAAGAGGAAGCCTGTCAAGTATAGGCACTAACGTCACCGAGGACAGCAACGTGTCAGTATTAAGCAACCAGACCCGGGAAGAGCTTGCCTCTTCAGAAGAAAGTGTCGCTATGCTCATAGTAAAGCGACAGCAAGTTGCTGATAAAGTCCAATCAGCAACGAAAGACATAACAGAGACGCTTAAAGCAATCAATGATAAGTATGGTAACACAGCGAACACTGTTAAAAATGGGCTCAAAGCCGCACTTAAACACCTTCAAGAAGCAGAGGTGCTAAGAAAGGCTTTTTTTATAAAGAAAAAGTGCATATAAACGCTTTGAAGTCGTCATTTGAATCCCTGCAGTAGAGGGAACAAAGGAAAGATAATTTCCGATGGCATGTACAGAAAAAAATCCTGAACACTTCTCTAAAAGAAAAAGAACAATGTAAAAGAAACAGGAGCCTATTGGACAGCCCTGAGAAATGCCAGCAAACTATGTCTTCAAAGAAAAAGAAAACACGTAGTGGCAAACAAGAAGCGATTCTCCTGAATAACAAAACAAGCCGGAAAAAAAAGTGGACGCGACAACAATAGTAGTAGTGAAGATGGCCGAAGGGCAGACCTTTGCAAAGGTCCTAAAGACGATGAAGGCGAACTTTGACTCTGATAAGGCTAATGTGGCAGTCCAAAGTGTTGTCACTACAAAAAAAGGAGACGTAATTATTAAGGCCAAAGGTGTAGAGAATGCCATTGCATTCTCACAGCAAATTAAAAAGTCGGTAGCTGGACAGGGTACTGTCAAAATGAGCAACAAAAAAGTGACACTAGAGGTCCGAGATTGTAAAGCTATTGTAACGGAAGATGAGGTAAAAGAGGCTTTCGCTAAGACTTTTGGACTTAGGAGCCAGGAGCCAGAAGTAGCTTTTTTAAACCCAAATGCCAGAGGACAGAGGCTGGCGTTGATAACGGTGGACGAAAGAACTGCCAGACAAGCAGAAGAGGAAGGCAGGTTACGAGTTGGCTTCGTAAGCTGCCGAATCCGAAGAAGAATTAAAGTAACAAGATGTTATAAATGCCTGGGATATGGATACGTCTTAGGCAACTGTAATGAAAATAACAGATCCAAGCTTTGCTTCCGGTGTGGAAGCTCAAACCCCTAAAAAAAAGAGTTGCCAGGCGCAGCGCGGTGCAATATGCACGAAGCAGGCAGTAGGAGCTGCCGTTTATTTAAAAGAGCCCTCGAAGAGGCTAGGGATAAGGCCCAAGGAGGACGAAAATAAGGCAAAGGGGCCTAGAGTTGGAAAGCAGGCTTATATGGACCCAGGCTGCGATGGGTACTTTTTTACCTATCAGCAAGGGAAAGCATCAAGCTTATAGTGGTGCTTGCTAGGTAAGCGGCCTACTATGGAGCGCTAGACAGGGTGCTGATCCTCAGGGACCCCGAGTCCTTTCTAGGACTCGAGAGGATCAGCACCTTTACCAAATGGTGGCGAGTTAGCTCGTTAATGCTGTGAGACACGATGGTCTTCCTGGTGGCTCCACCCTGAAGTAATGCTAACGCGGTTCCGGGGTGGATCAAAAGCCACGCGGCATGGGGGGGGGGGATTTAACGGGTATGGGTGGGCTAATAAAAAAAATCCTCGAAGTTCCACACTACCGCTGTCCCTGCGGTGTGCTTCAATGCATTTTCCCTTTCTCTACAAAAAAAAAGTCCATCGAATCGTTGCCTAAAATGGTAGTAAAAATATATTTGTTGCAAAGTAGTTAAACCTTAGGTGGCCCTTGAAAGAACCAAAGAGATTGATGATTTAGTTGGGAACGTAAATACTTATAGTAGCCCTGATAAGGGCCAACGGCAAATTTTTCAGTTATTCCCTACTATTATTTTTGATGAGGAAGAGCTGCCTATGGGTAGCTTGACTATTACCCTTGGAGACGATGCTGGAGGGAGGTGCGCCGCAGGCCAAAGAATATCTTGTCTTCAGGTCATTCCCCAG